TGGAAGTTAGACATTAATACCGTTGGATGCCAATTAAGCGTTCGCGCATGAGACCGGAGGTTCTCGGTACAATTCTCACTTTTAAGGGTCATGAACGCGCACTGCTGATGAGTCCCGTACCAGAATGAAACAGCCGTCTAGTGTTTCCAGGTTTCCAATGGTTGTCTAAAATTGGTTGAGTCAAGGAAACTCAACTATTTCTACCATCCTATGATGAAAGTAATTATGAGTTCCATTCAAGTCATCTAAACTATGAAGTTCGTTTTGTTGAAGGGAACTCTAGCTACCTCTAAAATGAATAATGTTTTTATTTTCTTGAGATGAGTGGAACTGAAAATACAAAGTAGAAATTCTTCACATTGTAAAATGATCATAAAATATTTTCCATTTACTTATCGAAGTAATATATTCTTTTATGATTTAAAGTCTAATTCATGTACTCAGTGAATATTGCAAGTTATCAACGAATAAATGTTTGTAGATAGAGCTTAATGAAAGTATTTATTTTACTTAACTTTAAGCATAGAAAATGAGTCGGGATATATCTATATGAAATGATGTGAAACTTAGAAATAGCGCATTTTTTGTAGGAAAGAATCGTTCTAATCCATTCAAAATCACATCAATATCTCTAGTTAAGTAGAATATGGAAATTCTTTCGTAAGTGTCGAATTATTCAAAACGGCAATTACGACTTTATATAACAATTCTTATAGGTAAATGAATATACAAACCATGAAGTTGTGCTCAGAAATATAGCCATAGGAGCATTGGAAACTTGTCAAGTGAACAGTCGTGATCAACTATTATATTCCAGGAATTATAGCATTGTGTATATAAATCAACTATGTTCGTTTAGTCAATTAATTAACGTGCTGAAATACTGAATCTTCTTTCTATCCATGTTGTATAATTTCCTATACTAGTCATTTTATTTTAAAATTTTCAAACAGTTTCACAGCTCCATGTTTTATATTTGTCCAATTGTGACAGCAAGTTTAACTGTAAAGATAAAAAGTCTAAGACCAGTATTCACTTCTTTAACAGATTTGTCATTGTTTCATGCTATCGAAAATAATACTGTATTAGCATAAATAAAGCATTCAAAATAATCACTCCTCTCATCATAATGGTTTGTTTATATGGCTACTTTACATAATGGTAGTGAATAGTATGATTTGAATGATATTCTAGAGAATCACTCAATTGGATGTTATCTGTACTCAAGTTTCAGATTAGAAAGTAATGTTAGGATACGGCTTAAATCTAGTTAACATATCCTAAATAGAATAAAACATTCTGTATTTAATTACTGTTAGTTAAAAGTGAAAAAAAAAAATAATTACTTCTTGCAAATTCACACAGTTAAATAATAAGTTTAGTATAATGAAAAAAAAAGACTGACTACAAATTATCTTAAATCTGTCACAAAAAAAGCTGAACATTTCAAATTCTAACAGAATTACTACGTTGAAGAATAAGAAAATGTAAACGTATGTACTTAATTAATTAATTCTGATAATTTTTACAATCAAACTAGTGTATAATCATCAGATTATGGATATTGATTTGCATGACCATGAAAAGTTCATAATTTTGTCTTTAAACTTTTTTTTTTATTTGTTTCTTGTGAAAAATGCACATATTAATAGAATATTAAATCACTTTTAATCATCCATAAATGTTATTAGAGAGAATTAATTGAGAGAAAAAAAACAACCTTGAACTTGAAGATGTACAGTAAAAAAAAAACGAACAAAATTACAAGTTGACTTAATGTGAATTGATTTTTTTTCGTCATTGTGTTAATTGTAACCGCGTTTACTGATAAATATAAGACCAGTGACAAATGATTTAGCTATCAAACTAATCTACACAGATTCCTAAATTAAATTATATTAAATTATCTACTAGTGTAAACGATAATTAACTTAATAAGACAATAAATTGATATCAATGAAATTAAAAGTTTTACATTGCGGGGTTGTTGTGAAGATTGTTAAGTTTCATTTGTAACCATGAATTGATCAATGTTAGACCGTCATTAGAAACCTGGAAGCACTCGATGGTCGTTTCGTCCTGGTATGGGACTCATCAGCAGGTTTCTAATGGTGGTCTAACATTGATCGATTCATGGTTACAAATTAAAAGTTTGTTCATGTTCATTATTATAGCGTAGTTACTGAAAATTACGTTAAATTATCTTTGTGGTATAAAATCATAAACTGATTTTATTCAGAAATAAGAACTATTAGATAAAAACTCACTTGGTTTATAGATAACAACAACACACTCATGATATCTTCAATTACAATCCCTGACTAAGTTGTACTTCTATGAAACAAATTCTCAGTACTCTATGATATTGAAAAGTTTTCTAACGAATTTCAGTCTTTAAGGAAATCTATCTATAAATAAAACCTGTTTATCTGGTAACTTTCAAAAACTAAACTTATCATGTTATTGAATGAACACTATTTAGTGCATAATTTCATAGTTATCACTTGTGCTTATTTGTACATTAACAACAATCCAACAGAGAGACAACATAAAAATGAGAAACAATTCCATGTTGTTATTAACATACGAAGTCAATAAACATGAATACAAAAAGTGAATCACAAACAACAAACTACTTGAATTGAACAAAATTAAATGTAAATCGAATGTACATGAAGTAGTAAAGAAAATTTTTGAAAAATTAAAACCTCGATGTAAAAGTCAAAAGTTGCAGTCATTGAATTCAAGGAGAGATTTTATGTTATAATTAAACGATTTTGCATCTTCCTCAATTCTACAGAACCAAATAAAATCAAGGATTACAAATGACACATCTGAAACCTTATCAAATAACTTGTGCTCAAACGCTATCCACAAGTGAAATTTACGGAAAATGTACAGTGGATTCAATACCTACTGTTTTAATTTATTAACTTGAACTCATTATCTTACAGCACATCGATTCCAAATATTTCGAACTAGTTCAAGAAGTGAAACACTCTATTGAAGGGTAAGTATGTGATGTAGCTCATATAAACATAATCCTAGGTCTGTTCAAATATTTGGGCCCTCTACTGTCCAACTAAGTAAGTATTACAATGGATTTTTGTGATTTAGATTTACTTTAGTGAATTTTATATGATAATCTTCAAATAGTATGAAGCTAAATACCTTAGAATCCAAGAGTAACCACGATAGTGATGAGTATATTTCCATTAATATCTACTCATGAATGAAACAAGTAGCGATTACATTGGAATTCATGCATAAAATATATTAAGCGATAAGAAAATATCACACAAGCTAGACTGGTCATAAATGTTGGTCGGTGAAGATGAATGAGTAACAAATAAATGCTGTTGAGAATCGTTTTATATTTATTTCAACTAGTTAACTCAAAAGAATTTAAATCAGAAATTTGTTGCTCTTATTGGATATTTCATGTTGAGAACAGATATTGTTATTGAAGATTGATGAGCTTAATCATGATGATGATAAATCCCTCCTAATTTTAATTGATAGCTTCCGTTCTTTACATGTTTCACATATGCCTAATATTCTTCAAGTAGACAGTTACTTCCCAATTTTGACCTTTTCTCACTTTACCACTTCTTATTAATTCTTTAATCTAATATGTAGTATTTTTTAAAAAATAGTTTTGACCACTTTTTAAATGATATAGTATTTATCTATGTAATGATGAAACTGAAGCATCTTAATTAACTGTACTTAAGTAAATGAAATTAACGACGACTTTTTACTTTGAATCTTTTGGACTTCTTTCCTGAAATAGTTCAACAAACTAGATGAAAACGTTGATCTTCCTCAAGACCATACTGATATTCTGTAGTGTCAATAGCTTTACGATCACTAACATTACATATTTAGAAATTGCATATTTGTAAAACGTTCCTTAAAATAGCCGGCTAATGTTCAATGTACGCAGATACAGCATATTACCGGAACTGCATGTAACCACTATGTAATTTCCTGTTAGCAATAATATTAGGCCCAATGCAATGATAGCCGTGTATGCAACACTAGGAATAGAGTGGTCGGTACTTCGTATATGAGAGATTGTAATGTAGAGGTTATGACGGTACAAGGATAAATGTTTAGGAAACTGAACTATAATTACGAAGATATCAACTCATTTAAGCCAAATTCACTAAAAAACAGTCAGTCCTAAAATATTATTTTTTAACTAAATATTTATCAATAGTGGTGAAAAAGATCCAGTCAGCGAAAACGTAGAACTTCATACGTATGTACATCAGTTCAGGTTACCGTATCACATGGACACAGAGATGCAATCGTCATTTCAAATTCAAGAGGGGTAGATGTAATAGAAGTATTACCAGCAGTAGAGGCGATTAGGGTTAGAACTTATTCAAAAAGTATAATTCAGTGAAACAAATTTGAGAAGAGAAAGGTGAAGGTCATCAGGAACTCAGGAGGTTAGAATTTCAGAGAACACAATGAATGGATGCATCTGCGCCATCTCAAACAGTTTTCAGCTATTTTATTCAAGGTCTCTAACCATCGGTAACTGTTGTCTCACAGGCCCCAAACCTGATAGTCTATACCTACCAACATGACTCAGTCCACTTGTCAGTGACTTCATGGATTTCTGCCATGTTTTAGTTTGGCCGTCCTTAGCTTTCTTCCAACCCACTCCTACACCATAAAACAGCTCGTTGAGGCAGTCGGGCATTCGTAGCATACGTCTCAACCATCTAAACTGACGAAGTTTCAATACTCCGTCAATTGATTTGCTATCATTACGTAGAATCCTTTTCCTAACCCCAGTGTTGCTTACTTGATTTTCTTAGGATAGCCGAGTAATACTTCGAAGACACCTATGGTCGAATATTAAAATCGTACAAATATCCTCTAATCTTGGTGTCCATGTTTCACACCCGTATAGTAAGACGGAGAGAACTGCTGAGCAGCAGACTCGTCCTTTGGTTGGGAGTAAAGTAGATTCATACACTAAGAAACCACAAGATAAATACAGTAATATTTATGGATGTGAAATTCAAACAATAATTAATAATAGTAGACGGATAAATTAACGTATAAAATATTGAATGAAATGGAATATTATTAAGGATATCAGTATTATATGTACGAGATTTTATGTGCTAAAGATCATTTATTAAATTAAATTATCATTTGTAAGTCTGTAAATGGAACAAGATGAAAGTTAGCCGTCTAAACATTTACATATGAAAATAAATAAGAACACAATAAAAAGGCAGAGCACTGTACTGTGAGCGAAAACGAAGTGTATATCAATTGAAAATAAAAATATATAATTACTGATAGCAGATAAATTTGAGAGTATATATATATATATATACCGAACGGCCTGTAATTATACAGGATTGCAAAAGAATGAGTCAATCTAGTAAAAATATCAAAGGGAGAGAGAGAAACAGAAAAATCGACAAAAGAAAATCACTGACAAATTGAATAGATAACAGAAAATAATTAATAGTAAATTAATCAAACAAACCAAAAACACGAATGAAGAACTGGAGTCTTAATTTTTAATGAACCGGTAGGCAAAACTGTACATGGGACTGTGATTGAATCCGAAATGAAGGTTCGTTCTGAATATTTTTTAAACAATAAGTGTAAGGAATCAGTCATTAAAACTACACACCAAGTTTAACATTAGCAAAATAAAAAACAAAAAGAATAAAATAAATGTAATATATAAAGTCGATGGACTTGTTTTAATAAGATTTGAAGGTATCATCCATTTCTTGTTCACATTACACCATTGAGGTATTATAGGTGATGGTTTCAATATGAGCTATATGTATATTTATTGCAGCATTGGGCAATAGGGTATCACAAACGCAATGATTTCATAACAAGATCAGCGATTGGGCGGAAATGTAAAGTTGATCCACGTATTCGTTTCAGTCGGACACCGCGCAAATGAACCCGTGGTAACTGACAAACTTCCATTTCCCAATGTACCGGATCTCCACGTAAAAACCCACCGTGACTTGGAACCTCAAGGGGTGTAGAGAGGGATGAACTAGCTTGACCTTTACTAGTAGCTTCCGAATTAGAAGTTTTGATAGCAGGTCGATCAGCTGCCCAAGAACATTGCAACAGAAAAGGAAGGTGAGGGTCATGTGAATAACGACAACCAGGAGTGACCTCAAGAGCTTGTATAATGGATTGAAGGAGTTCTTCTGGTGACTTGGTGCTTGTAGTATACACACTCCAAGGAAATTTCACCTCACGTGGTTTATTCAGCAGTCGGGTGGATGACTGACTACTATCCGAACGTTCATCTGAGGACTTACTAAATCGGATAATAAAGTAAAGAAAACCAGGCTTCAACATAAAGGGGGTAGAATGATGTAATACTATATGTTTGAAAGGAGATTCAATAAGAGAATAACTGCGATTCTGAGTAAAATTTTATCGAACACTGGGAGTGCTCAATAAAGGGTACTTTTTATGTCATTGTTGTAGTAAAATACCGATGTTGCCAATTTGTCAACTATTGATACCTTTTAAAGCATGAGCTTTACATTTCTAGGATATAAAACACACCGTTTGAGTTTGAACAGATGATCTCACTGCAGCGGTACTGACTAGATGATAGAGGAGAGGTAAAAAACATATCACACTGATGAATCCCGTTTAGTGAACTTATAAGTACGACCAGTGCTTTTTGATAAATAGCTACATCCTCGCAGATTTATCAGGTTAAGCGCAAACTCACGAGTCATACAACTCATCAATAAAGTGAAAAGATGAAATCTTTTGACCAGTGTCCATTAAACACAATCTATGTAACCAGTTTTTTTATGGTAATAAATGACTTTAAATTTGATAAACTATGATGTTAGATGGTTTAATTGAGGATCTACATCTAACGACATAGGTCAGTCCAATATTAATTAACTTCATGGACTGATGCAACTAATCATAAGCTTTTAATCGACTGATGACTTTAAATATGATTTCTTAATTGGAAATAGCATTTATAACATTGTCTTATAGATATATTTCGAGCACTAACAATAAATATAAAGTACAATTAAAATTTGTCATTTAAGTATTACTACTTTCAGTTGCTTTTGAACTGAATTTAGTTTAGTTTTATTTACTGTCAAAGAAAAATGATAAATGAATAAATCAAAGTGAAATATGATAAAAAATTTGAATCGAAAATCCATTCTCACTTCATATTAACAGATGATGTTCTTTAGAAAACGAATAAAATATGAGTGATTTCGGTAAATAACAACGCCAAAGATGACTACATTTCTTTGTCCTCCCGACCGTAGCTGCTACCTTGACGTGGTGGTCGGGCTTGCCTATCGGGATGACCCAACCGAGCTACACCTTCTGCAACATATGTTCCTGAAGGTTCTACCATGCCAGGCAGGTCGATCGCAGAACGACGGGACTAAAAGCAGCTACTCAAGGTCTGAGGGCGAAGTCGTACTGCTGACTGAAGAGGGGTGTGACAACAGTAAGGAGTTTCCCTCAGACAACCACCATCTGCAACGATGCTGCCTTCTCACAAGGAAGAAAGGGTTAGGAAAGGTCGACTCTAAAAATGTCATACCTCACCCTTGGACTCTGTGGTCACGCACCCAGGTCTATAAGACCAACACTAATCTATCTTCCTTTCCAGGTCCCTCAAGAAACAACCTTCCACGGTGTGGGCAGCCGGGAAGTGACAACCGCCCTCATACCCGTAACAGCACACGAGACCAAATTGGTCGAAATCAAATCCCTTCTACACCCACACACGCCTCTCTTCTCTCCACAACGAACTCGACTCACAGTCCCTTTTCTCACGGCTCCGCTAATGCAGACGAAGCGAGTTCACGAAACGTCATTCCTGTTTTCTTGAAACCCCGTTCTAGACTACATGTTGGAGCTTTTAATGTACGGACATTGTGTCACATAGGGCAACACGCTTCCCTAGCTAGGACTTTAGAATCTCGTGCCATCGATGTATGCTGCGTCTCAGAAACGCACATACAGGATCCTAGTAAAATTACTGATCTCATTTCACTTTGTCAAAATAAAGAAGCAGCTCGATTTACCCTTAGTATATGGAAGCCCTGATGCTGCTTCTCGGAGTCTCGATGGTGTAGGTATAGCATTGAGTCGTAGGGCAGGACTATCTATCCTAGACTGGATCCCAGTAGATAGTCGATTGTGCGCTGTCCGACTAAACGGAACAGTAAGGACTCGGAAAGATAGGGACAATCGCCGTTGCCTCTTCATCGTATCTGCCTATGCCCCCACTGACTGCAGTTCAGACGAGGTTAAAGATGAGTGTTACAGAAAGCTTTCGGACCTGCTCCAAAAAGTAAGGCGCTCTGATATAGTGATAATGGCTGGTGACTTTAATGCTCAAGTAGGTAGACCAAGTGAAAATGAAAGACACCTAGGTGGATGTTATGGTGTTGCGGCTCAGAGAACAGACAATGGTGACCGTCTGTTGCAACTATGCTCAGGTAACCGCCTATTTCTAGCAAAAACTAACTTTAGGCATAAGGAAAAGCATCTTTTGACCTGGCGACCTACAAAGTCGTCTCAACGTTGGACTCAACTAGATCACATCGCCATCAGCCACCGATGGAGGGGTTCGATAGAAGACTGTCGCTAGTTTTGGTGCATATGTTTAGATTCAGATCATGCCCTAGTGCGAGCGCGTATTTGTTTGAGGCTTACTGGGCGTAGGAAAGACACTGTAAGAAAGCCTGTTAGGGTTTTATTTAATGATAACCAAACTAAGAAAATATTTCAGGAGCAACTAGAAACAGAGTTAAGCAACCATGTAGGCGATACCTATCCAGAATCAGGTTGGTATGATATCAAGAAGGCTGTGGAAACAGCAGTGATATCTGCTAGTAAGGTTGACCATAAGGTTAGAATGAAGCCGTGGATCTCAGTAGCATCCACCGATCTGATGGATGCCCGAAAACTCATCCCACTTGGCTCTGAACATGATGAAGTACGAAGTCAGCTTATGTGCAGGCTGATAAAAAGCCTGCGCAACGACCGTGAACAGTGGTGGGTGGCGAAAGCAAAGGCGATGGAAAAAGCAGCGGCGATAGGCAATCTATAAGAAAGGACAGAAGTCCTCTTGTGACAATCACAGGGGAATAAGTCCAACTAATATAGTATCTAAAATATTGGCCTCAGTAATACTTCGACGCTTAACGAAAGCTCGTGAAGAGCAAACTCGAGAAAACCAGTCTGGTTTCCGACCTGGACGTGGTTGTATAGACCACATCTTCACACTACGACAGGTCCTGGAACACAGAGACACATTCAGGCGTCCTACAATAGTCGTGTTCCTGGACCTAACAGCGGCATTTGACTCAGTGGATCGTGAGGTTCTGTGGCAGTGTCTGTCATTGAAAGGTGTACCAAAGAAGTACATTAACCTTATACAAGCTCTCTACTCGAACACCACTGGTCGAGTGAGAGCTTATGGAGAACTGTCGCCGGAATTCTTTACTTCAAGTGGTGTCCGTCAGGGATGTCCACTTTCTCCATCCTTGTTTAATTTTATCATAAACATGCTCCTAGAAATAACCTTATCCTCGTCTGAATTTTCAGGAGCAGACCTTTTACCAGGTGGCTCGTTTATCGACTTATAATATGCCGATGACGTAGTCCTACTTGATGAAGACGCTGACAAAATGCTGAGACTTCTGACCGCCATAAGCAACAATGCAAGCATCTTCGGGATGCGGTTATCCCCCTCGAAATGCAAAATGTTGCTTCAAGATTGGGTTTCATCGGCACCTGAACTAGTGATAGGGAGTGATGCAGTCGAGCGTGTAGACCGCTTCACTTATCTGGGGAGTCTCATCAGTGCTGTTGGCCTGGTGACTGACGAAATCTCAGCTCGGATACAGAAGGCTCGATTAGCTTTTGCCAACCTGCGTCACTTATGGCGTAGGCGAGATATCCGTTTGCTGACTGAAGGACGAGTGTACTGTGCAGTGGTTCGCTCCGTCTTACTTTATGGCTGTGAAACATGGCCAGTCAGAGTAGAAGATATTCGTCGGTTATTGGTTTTCGATCATCGGTGTCTTCGAAGCATTGCTCCTATATCGTGGGACACCCGAGTGAGCAACGCTGTTATTAGGAAACGGGTGCTGGGTAAGAATGGCAGATCAATAGATGAAGTGCTGAAACTTCATCAGTTGAGATGGTTGGGACATGTGCTGCGTATGCCTAACCACCGACTGCCTCGACGAGCTATGTTTTGTGGTGTAGGAGTAGGTTGGAAGAAAGTTAGGGGCGGCCAAACCAAAACATGGCATAAATCCATGAAGTCATTGACGAGTGGACTTAGCCATGTCGGTAGTTGTCGACTACCTGGTTGGGGTCCGCGAGATGATAATGATCGATGGTTAGAGACCCTGAATGACATGGCTCAAAACCGTTTGCAATGGCGCCGGTGCATTTATTCTTTATGTTCTCCCAAATCCTAATCTTCTGGATTCTTCAACCCCTCAAGTTTCGACTTTCTGAACTTTCCTCACTGAATCATATTTCTTGAATATCTTCTAATCGTAACCTCTCCAATTACTTCTAATACCTTTATTATCTCTACTACTATTGGATTTGAATTGACAATTATATCTCTGTGCTGATAAGGTATGGCAACATGAACTGTTGTACCCACGTACAAAGTTCTACGTTGCATCTGACTGACTGACATTTCTTTGTGAAGCTATAGCTGTGTCGTTCAAGAGTTAAGTCTTCAACAGCATGATTGCATGTTAAAACCTCATACAATCATCAATTTCGGTCTAACGAACTGGGTAGTGTGCTTTAGGTAAAAAATATGAATTTAAATCTGATATATGATTCAGCATTCAGTTACTTAGTTAAAGCCATAAAATTTACGAATAGACAAAGGTCTACATACAGAATGTACTACTCGTGTGACAGTTTCAATACTAAATGTATACTTTTGGAAACTTGCCACTCATTGTAAGTGTAATAGTTCGAGCAATTTAAATACGTCCATATATTCAAAGAGTGTTGGTGTATTCAAACAAGCTATTGCCTTTGAAGTAAGGAATAAATAAATACTTCATATGAAAGAAAAATTAATTTATTCTTTGACAAAACAGCAGATACAAGAAAATGAGAATTCAGAGAATGTATGCAATTCTTATCAATGAAAAACTAACATTACCTTTGTACAAAGAATCCGCCTAATGCCTTTAGAACACCACGGCCCCATGAACTTTGATGACTAGAATCCACGATGCTATAGAAAACAAATTAATGAGGGCGATCGTTGAGATAAATTTCATATAATAACGTGTTTAAGCTTTGTGATTCTCACTCAATATACAGATAGCAGACACACATTGAAAAAAGGGTCGAGTATACTGTCTAACAGTTTGCTTTGTTTTACTTTATGATTAAGAAACGTTACTAGGTGACTTCAAAGCAATACTCGTGTACTTTGGGACGACTAAGTGAACAATGTCCTACGATAAGATCTGTATAATTTATCAGTCAAAATACTTGTTGATCAAAGTAAAACTGGAAACCGGTGAATTCATTCAAGTTGAATAAACCATAGGATGGACTCTAGCTATCTGACTAATCAATAAAATTGTGTGTAAAAACAAGGTTTTTAGCACTCGAAGGAATTATCCACTGAATCAAAAAATGGCATCTACTAGTTGGGCTCTTTTGACTACTTGTCAGGGAAGTTGTGAGCACTATCAAATCGGCAACAAAGTTATTCATCCAGTTTTCCTTTTATTTTGTCGCGTTTAATTGGAAATGGTTAGAGTACTACTTCATAGCTGATTTAAATCCTACCATCAGATCACAGAAAAGCCAAGTGTCTGTTAACCAAAAAACACCTACTTCAAACCTTCATATTTTTTATCATATTATGCTTAAATATACTATCAATCCCTCAACTACCACACATACAAACCTCCATAATGAGGTGGAAATAAAGAATTATAAGTGTTAAGAAATGAAACGATCACCAAAAATTATGCTTAACAGTCAGGTCTTAACTGGTTGAAGAATGAGTTACCTTAACACTCACTACCTTCCTCCAATCAGCAATGACAATTTATCGAGCTTACTTTGTGTTAATTCTTTGTAGATAAGTATGTCATATTCTACTACACAAAGTCAATTCATCTGGAGGTTTCTAACAACAAATCTTCATTACGAAACTTTCCCGATTGCGCCAGAGATCGTTACTCAAGTGTTGCGCACTAGTCGCCTGATACATCCACTTAGTACTAACACTGTTGAACACTAGGGATATCTCTCAGCCATCCTATCTCAATTAACAACAAAAATAAACTTCGTTTATATGAGAAATTGTCAAAAAATATCAGGATTTTATATATTTAGAAGGATGAAAGATTAGGAAATTTATTAGTCATACCATGAATAGAATAAAAAACTGTTCTCTTAAAATAAACATTAAACTTTTTGTGATAATGACGTGAAATTGAGAACGTAGTCTAAAACGTATGTATAAAATACTCACACTGATATATTAGAAGATAAACATAAAAAGACCACTGAACACTCACATATTTGAAGCCACTCCAGGATTTGAAGATGGTTTAGTCGATGAGTGCACAGATTGTAAACGCAGAGCCTCGAGACGTAAGGCGAGAGCTTCTGTGCCTTGAACTGTATGTAGTACTTTGATCTGCGGATTAAGAGATGGAATGTTTGTAGTTTTATCCGAATTATTGGTCATTTGGCATGTCTGATCAATAGTTGTTAAACTACGACTGAGTTCTGCCTTTTCGTTGCGAATATTAGTTTCTTCAGAATGAATATGTTCATTATTATTCCCCGGGACTACTTGACAAGAATGATTATCATCCTCATGAAATTCCTGTTTTGTTTCTAAGACTGACTGAGATGTAGAGTGCTGATGATTCAAAGAGGGAGTATTAACTGATTTGCCAACGCCTTGAACAATTGTCGTAGCTGTCTCTCGAAGTTTCTTTTCGGCACACGATTCGGATGAAGTAGAGCTTGAATCAGTAAATGTGGCTCCGCTAGGATCCAACATATTTCGTTTCTGTAAGGAGTTTTTATCATTATCACGACCAGTGCTATTTGTATAGCAACGATGTGTTGCGTCTGAACCTGCTTTCGTTACAACTGAAGACTCCTTGTTGGCTTTTGGTGTTCCAGGTGCATGACTTGCTCCTTGACTTTCGGATGTAGTAGAAGCATTAGATGAAGAAGAATGATTACGAACAGCTGGACTTTTAGATCTTACACAAGAATTTTCAGAATGAGATACACCCTGTTGGTTTGACAGCTGACGTTTTTGTAGCTGTTGCTGTTGAGATAAACCAAAACCGTGTTTTTTGACAGCTCCAATTGGAACGGGGGCTGTAGTGATAACATCCCTTGAAAATAAATAATTAAATATTAATTTTAAACTCAATGTTGTTATATTGTGAGCCAATTCTTTTAAAAAGATATTAACAAAACTACTAACCAAGATAAATAACAGACTTTATGCATTTCCAACAACCATAAGTTCTAAGTCCAAACCGTTCAGATGCACTTCACTTTGAATAGTCAGTACGGCAAACTATGAAGGAGAAATCGAGACTGTACGGCTAATACAAGCCCCCAAATCACCTGGTACGGCCAAGGGTGGGAGGATTTACTCTCCCTTTTGAAATGCTCTCATATGATCGTGCGTACAAACCTAATGCCAAGGAAGTTATACTCACCGCCTTCTCGTGACGAGGGTGTTCTTTACCGATTTAGGAGGATTTCCCTGGAGGTGTTGACGAACCTTGATTCTGAAACAGTGATGCGCATGGATTTCGGTATTTTGATGGGAAGAATGGTATCTGAACCGACTGTAAGTCACCGGCTACCATTGGACTACATCTCGTAACGTTACTCAACTGCCTAGTGAATTAGACCCCTAGATCAGTGGTTTCTTAAAAAAAACCACCTGCTTCCGTTTGAGCACCCAAGCAGAATCATAGCCTACACACTAATTAAATGATCACTACAACTAGACAAATTATTTTCGTTTTAATCCTAATTCTTGCCAATTATACTCACAATCATTGGTTAATATTCATTCTTACTTTACCTTGCATCACTTGTCTATTTCGTGGTAGTGTTTCGTTTGGTGTCAATGAACCAATCAGTGAAACTGATGGAATGTCAATCAATAACATATATTGATGTTTTGGACAATAAACAGAGTTCTTCGAGGAACAACCTACATGGTCTGCTGTCCCGGAGACTGATTTATTTAAAAAAAGCGGAGGTCCGCAAGAACTCTAACTCTTGAAGTACCACAAACCACCAGGCCCATATGACTTATCTCCGAGCCTATTTTAAAGATGGTGGCGAGTTTCTAACCATGGGACTGGTTTGTTTACATCCGCTTGGTGATTAGAGAGTGTTCCAGCATCCTAGAATGAGAAGATAGTTATCCATATCCTTAAAAATGATTCATGCCATCTATGTTGAAGCTATCGGAAAATAAGTCTAATTCCGAATGCGTCCGAATTATTGCCTGCCGTCATAATTTACAGTGTCCAGAACTCGAGAAAAATTGACTGGCGAAGATATGGTTGGTTTTCGTTCTGCTCAATAATAAATTGGTTAGATCTGTACACTTCGCCATACTTATCGCAGGCCAATAATCACTGTTTCTTGACATCAAGACCGCTTTCGATTCTCTGAACAGGACTGTTCTCTGGGATTCTGTTGGAAGAGAGTGTATCTGAGCTGACTAATATTTTGATGATCCTATATAAAAACACCTCAGGTAGAGTGAGGGTACACGACCACCTCTCATCATTGTTTCATTCAAACAGTCGACTTAAGAAAGTTTTCCGAATCTCACCTTTTCTCTTTAACTTTAAAATCGATGAAGTCATGGGCAGCTAAAATAGGATTTTAAAATCGACAAATACTTCTTTTATGTATTACATGCAATCTAGTTTTTTATCAACTTACCTTCCACCTCCAGAAGATTTTGGCACAGATTTATTATGACGCCCTGTAAGGAAAGAAAGTCGTGCAATAAATATAAGTAAAAATGAAACATGTTTCTAAATTAAGGATTATTACTGCGGTTACTTGAACTAATATAACCCTGGTACTAATTAAAAATGTTTTAAGATGCATCAAATACAGTTGATTCGAATGAAACAGTAGAGCGTGACTGAAACAAATTGGATAGCAGCAATCATGCACAACTCTAAATACGATGTTATAACGTCCACCATAATAATTAATTCGTATGATTGAACACACTGAAATACATAAAGATCGTAATCAAACTGACAGATCTATGGAGATTATTGTTCGAAATCAGTGAAAATTTTACAAATTAAAAATCCTTTGAATTCTGAAAGAAAACGCTAAGGAAACAGAATTCTGGCAAAATAAACTCTAACAAATTTGTTGAGAATTCACAGTGAATGTATATTCCCGATGCTAACAAATGAAACTTAATAACCACACAACAGTCAGACAGCAACAACGTACGTACGAAGTTAATGTAAACACACAAAAGAGGGTTATTGCATTTACAGTAGGAATCTTAAGCTTAGCGGAAAATTAATTATTTAATTTGAAATGATGATTGAAAACTGACGTTCTCGAAATTTTAGTGCAATACAGGACTAGAATAAAATGCAATATTAAAATGTGAATGAATACCTGAAACTGTTTGTGCTGTAGCACGATTACTTTCTTCATTACCAGGTGTAGGAGTTCCTCCACCAGTAAGATTTCTACTAACTTGCATTATTGCTCGTTTCAAAGTACCTGGTAATGCGGATGTAAGAGAATGGTGTTCTCGATTCCCAGATTCAAAACCATACACGTTTTTCAGATGTGCTGAAGCTTGGCTTGATTCAGCCGTCAGACTACCCCTAGTGTAACGCCCAGATGAAGAATGACCAGTAGGTTCATTTACTTTATTACTTGGAGCCACTGTGAAACGTCCAATAGAAGTGGGCTTCGTAGAGACAGGCAATTCCGATGGACCAGAGGAATAGTTGCGAGTCGATTTAGTCTCCTGATTGTCAGTAAGCAGAGAATTAGGTAATGCGATGGTATGCGGAGAAGCAGCCGCTCCAGGAACCAAGTCTTTACAAAGCCTATTAGAGTTAATACGAAGAAAACACACCATAGATAAATAAGTATATGAATGACTAAGACTGAAATTATAATATATTGGACTAACTGAACAACCAATGGCTGGTCAAATACTATACACTCATTAAATAAGTGATGGAAATAACGAAACATCCGAACGAAGATAGACGTTAATTAGTTCAAACTTTAAATATAATGGCTAAAACATCGCTCCAATACAAAACTTCTCATGATTTGCAAAGTATACACTATCAAATAGACAAAATGATAAGAACTTGGAGTGAAAATTTACGATTGTGAAAACATGTGTTTTAAAACTCGCAGACTCGTGGATACCTCAGAATACATGGACTTTTATCTACAGATTCATACTGATAAGTCTAATATATATACGACTCATTCCAAGTAGTAAGTGTGAGATACATAATTTTTAGACATAAATTCACCGAGCACTCAAAAAGATCACAAACCAGCTTTCTTTGCTAAGGACGTAGAACAGGTGGATGATAATTTTAGAACAATCGTCGCTATCAGTACTTCGATAAATTAGGATTTTTAAAAGACAAAATCCATTTAAATATATTGTGGCGATGAGCACCAATGAGCACCAATGAGCACAAAACTCCTGTCCCGGGATTCGTGTCAACAGACGCCATACATACTACCTGGTCTTCTTTACGCTTTTCGAAGCCAGTTATATGTAGTTTCGAAATTCAACCAGTTAGTCTTTTCTATTGTTGATTCTTTACGTAATCGAATGGGGAACTTACATAAAATCGATAGTTAAAGCATACGAGTTAGCTAACTGATAGCATAACCCAATCACAAGACTCGGACTAAAGCGAGCACATAATTTCCTCCTTGAATAAATCTTACTTAATTCATTTAGATATCTGAGTATTGATGCAACTAGTATTTACGTCTTACTGGGATCTACAAATGTGATAACCTGAGGCTGAGATTTTCTGAAAAAAGCTACTAGGTCATGTACTTAAGAATGTTGTGTAGGTAGTAAAACAGAATTAAGAACATAGACAGAAATTACATGGCATAAGAGTAGCTTGATTGTCTTTAGTAACTTTATTTTAAATGTCTGCATATTATAACCGAAAACTCTGACTAGAAAGTTTAGTCTACAACACCAAGATAGATGTATTTACTTTGACAGTCACATTATGAAGAAAAACAAATGTATTGCAGTTTACCCCCAGTTCAACGCTTAATTGTCTATGTCTTCCCTACAGTTATCGACATGAATTTGCTGTCCGACAAAACTGTCTGCCCGAATTCTAATATGTCTGTGACAATTATGTTGGCTACTATAGGTCAGTCAGTCAGTTGCAACGTAGAACTTCGTACGTATGTACATAAGTTCATGTTGCCATACCACATTATTAGCACAGAGACGCAAATGTCAAATCAAATCCCATAGTGATAAAGATGGTAGAGGTATTAATGTTAATAAAGAAGACTAGAGTTCGAAGATATTATTCAAAAAATATAATTCAGTGAGATAAGATTATAAAGACAAAGGCAGAGGTATTGACGAATCCAGAAGATTAGGATTTGAGAGAGCTCAAAGAGTGGATGCACCTGCGCCATTGCAAACGATTTTGAGCCATGTCGTTCAAGGTCTCTAACCATTGATGACTTTCGTCTCGCGGACCCCAACCAGGTAGTCTACATCTACCAACATGACTCAGTCCACTTGTCAGTGACTTCATGGATTTCTGCCATGTTTTGATCTGGCCGCCCCTAGCTTTCTTCCAACCTACTCCTACACCACAAAACATAGCTCGTCGAGGCAGTCGGTGATTAGGCATACGTAACACATGTCCCAACCACCTCAACTGATGAAGTTTCACCACTTCATCTATTGATCTGCCATCCTTACCTAGTACTCGTTTCCTAACGACAGCATTGCTTACTCGGCTGTCCCACGATATACGAGCAATGCTTCTTAAACATCTATGATCGAATACTAGTAACCTACGAACATCTTCTACTCTTAACGGCCATGTTTCACAGCCATATAAGAGAACGGAACGAACTGCTGCGCAGTACACCCGCCCTTTGGTTAGCGAACGGATATCTCGCCTACGCCATAAGTGACGCAGGTTGGCAAAAGCCAATCGAGCTTTCTGTATCCGAGCTGAGATTTCGTCAGTCACCAGACCGTCAGCACTGATGAGACTCCCCAGATAAGTGAAGTGATCTACACGTTCGACTACTTCACTCCCTATCACTAGTTTAGGTGCCGACGCAACCCAATCTTGAAGCAACATTTTGCATTTCGAGGGGGAAAACCGCATCCCGAACATGCTCACATTGTTGCTTATGGTAGTCAGAAGACTCTGCATTTTGTCAGCGTCTTCACCGAATAGAACTATGTCATCGGCATATTCTAGATCAGTAAGCGACTTTCCTGGTAGAAGGTCAACCCCTGAAAAATCTGACGAGCTTAATGTTAACTCTAAGAGGACGTCTACGACAAAGTTAAACAAGAATGGAGAGAGTGGACAGCCCTGACGGACACCACTTGATGTAGAGAATTCAGATGACAGTTCGCCATATGCTCTATAGGCATGGAAATTCATTTACTGTTTTCGATTGATAATAAGTGGCTGAAAAATAAATTAATTCGTTCTTTCTACGTTACTTAGGTGTAAATATATGGCTAACTGGGATCTTCACAACCTATACAGGGTAATACATGAGGTTACCACATTTGCTTTTGAAGATAACACCCAGTTATATAGATTTTTTAAGTAGTAAGGACTGACCCCATAACTGATAAATTAAAAATAAATTAGTAGGTCATAATGTCATGTGCCTTATTGTGACTAACTGGTATTAAACACTGACAGAAACATCTTTATGGTATTTTGAGATGCAAGCGGCTTTCTTTCTTTCTTAACTGGAGGACAGATATTACCAAGGAGTAGGGCATACATGTGAGTTAGGTAATAGAACCAAACAACAAAAATATACAGTATATTTAGAGTGAACAGAATCGAATGCCCTATAAGAAGTAAAGGAAGATAAAGTCAGAATGACTGGAGAACAGGATCAAATATCTGCGAAATGACTGTGTTTTATTACAGGAGACTGAAATCAGATATCTAGTGCGCATCAGTGACTTGTATTGAGATAAAAACCTGAGGTTCGGTGGGAAGGTCGTGATGGGTTATGTCAACCACTTCAGTAAAGTGTCCACCGATGACACTCGATGACGACATGGTGGTGGAGTCGTTATAAAACTCGAAGACCCTAAGTTTAGCTTTGTATTTGATCGCGGCCGTGTATCGCAGAAGAATATCAAATTGCGCCCTGACAGCTGCCCAGCGCTTCCTCAGTTTTGAATTATCCTTCACCTGAAGTCAATTCGTGATGAATAACGCTATCCAACATCACAACTCTTATTTGCTACTATGTCATTTGATCAATCTGAATCTATTCAGTTTCCTAAACTTTTGAATCGGACCTAATGGGTTGATACCTCATGTCAAAGTCATCCACGTCTACAAAGATTTAATTATAAAATAAAAATTACTGCATCAGGTAATTTAGTGAATTTTTTGAACACTTACTCAACAAATGGGGAGGGGGTTTCAGGCAACAAGTGATAAGTTGCATACACATGATCAAATACAGGATTAACTACCGACGACTCAAGATCAGCTCTTGTAAACCCCATCTCTTCCATGGCCTTCACACGACTATCATCCAGTTGACATTTTGGTGGTTCTCTATACGGACGAAGATGATCGTCTGGAGAGTAGCCCATATTTATCCACTTGTCAAGCATCAAAGACTTGAAAAGAGTTTGAAAAAGGTTTAATTAATTCTACAGAATTCAAGTAGTTTATAGATTACCTACTTATATACTTGTTCTATTACTATTCACTTTTGCAAATGACTCCGTTAATTGGTAAAACTTTGCTCAGAAAATTCAAGTTCTAGTGTTTTAATAAGCTCAAAATAAACCCACAAAACATATATACCGATTTCTGGATATTATGTTCCTTTTTACAATTCTAAGGAAAATATATACCTCAAAATGTGTCATGAAAAATAATTCAGTTGTGTTTGAGTCTAGTTTGCAAATCTAATATCTAGAAACTACCGATGAAACTCAATCCTTCAAACTAGTACAAACAAAATGGATTGAAATATGTCAATCACGTGATGAAAATTGATCTCTTAGAATGATTCGGGACCATAAATTCGCTACAAAAGCAATCAGTAAAAGTAAAAATTTCCACTTTCAAAATTAGTAAGCAACTGGTTCAAGTACAACTCAAAAGGTACAAAGGTTACGCTAGATAAAATAGAAAAATGACGAGTAACTATATCAGCTGCACATTCTACGTCAACAAGCGAATCTCCTCGTAAAAGGTCAACTCCAGAGAAGTCAGACGATGAAGATGCCGTCTGTAAAAGCATGTGTGTATGCTTCAGGACCAGACGAAGAGTGAATATATGGTCTATACAGACACGTCCGGGTCTGAACACACCCTGATTTTCTCGAGTCTGCTCTTCACGAGCCTTAGTTAGGCGTCGAAGTATTATTGAAGCTAATATTTTAGACACTATATTAATCAAACTGATTCTTCTGTGATGGTAACAAGAAGACTTTTGTCTTGTTTTACAGAGGTTGAATAAATATCTTTTTCTAAATACGACGTACTTCATCATAAATAGAGCTGGGAAAGTGAATATCAGGAGACTAGAAGTAGATTTGCAATAGCAGCTACGGTCGGGGGGGGGGTAAACAGAGAGGTTTTAAATGGTTAGATGCTTCAAACATCAAACCATGGATCGACGAAGCATCGGCAATTTTCTTCAAGACTTATTAAATTCTACTGACATACAGGCAATAACTCTAAAATTTACATAAGCAGCAATAAACAAAACTAGCCATAGATCATTTCTGGTGTGATAGCTGTTGATAATAGAAATCGAATTTACGTCTGACAGCGACAGGAGATGCTTACAATATGATAGGCTTAGCGTAAGTGTCGGTCTTAACATAGGTACATTATAGGATGATCAATAAGAGAAAAAACTGATTACACCAACAGAAGTCAAATAAAATAGAGCTAACAAGTGGAAACATGGAATATCGGACAAGATAATAAGACGTCTAACATTTACACTGAAACGATATACAGATACAATCGAACTATTGAAACTGTTGTCTAACTACACCGTATTTCTAAGCCCCGATCATGACCGTCTCTAATTATGTGCAGAAAACATACTCCTCATTACACAGGCTAGACAGACATGCAGTGACTTTTAAGAGTCTATACCGCATCTAGTCGCTAACCCTTACAGTGTGCTTTACAATCGGTTACAAAAAAAAACAGCGCGCTGCGTTTAAAGCTATTTATCCATAATATAGCTTTGAATTTAAGCATATGGAGTTACATGGATACACTTAAGACACCCCAAAACATATTCAAATGCTACCTTTGTACTATTCCGCTATGAAATTTTAAACAGAAGATAAATTTATTTATTTCCAATAAAGTAGTCAACTGAATGTGGAAAAAGGTTATTAGTGATAGGCATAGATAGGATTGACTTGAAACTAACTTGTTTCCAATGTTACTATTAATTCAATAGTTTATGAACTTAATTTATATTAAACGTAATGAACTGAATGTTTACCTTCAAAGATGAACGATCTTTAGGGTCAAGAACTAACATTTTCCTTAACAGTGCGTCACATTCTGGAGAAACGGCACCACGAGGTATAGTGTAATGCAGTCCCAAAATTTTGCTCCGAAGTTCACGAAGATCACGTGCATCGAACGGGAGGTGTCCCAGAACCAAAGTAAACAGGATCACACCAAGGGACCAAATATCTACACTGGGTCCATAATATGGAATACCCTAAAAAAGTAGCACAAATAAACGTAAAGCAAATGAAATTACATAAAGGAGAATAATTGAAAGACAACTGCGTTCCTTTTTAAAGATAACAAAAAGCACCTCAGTGGACGTATGGACCAAATGTTTACACTTCCTCAGATCCTAGAACATAGACACACATATCGGTATCCGACAACTGTTGTATCCCTTGACCTTAGGGGGTTATACTCTGTTGGTCGAGGTTTTGTGGAAGTGTCAGTCATTGACAGGTAAGCCAGAGAAGAACATAACCTTGTACAGGATCTCTGCCCAAACACTTATGGCGAACTGTTTTGGAATTGATTACTTCGAGTAATGTTCGTCAGGATTGTTCACTTTTCCATTCTCGTCTGACTTCTCAGGCGTTGACCTTTTACCAGGAGATTCACTTGTTGACTTAGAAGGTGATGATATAGTTGTTTGGTGAAGACGCTGATAAAATGCAGTCTTCTAACCAACTATGGCAATAATGAATGTTCGGGATGCGATTCTCCGTCTCGAAATGCAAAGTATTGCCCCAACATTGACTTGCATCGGCACCTGAACTAGTGATAGGGAGTGAAGCAGTTGGGCATGTTGACCGCTTCACACATAACGGGAGTCTCATCATTACTCATGGATTGATGTGTGACGAAATCTCAGCACAGATACAGAAAGCTCGATTGGCTTTTGCCAACTTGTGTCACTTATGGCGTGGTTATGATATCCGTCTGCTGACCAAAGGACGAGTTTACTGTGCATCAGTTCGCTCCGTCCTACTATACGGGTGTGAAACATGGACACCAAGATTAGAGGGCATTTGTACGATTTTAATATTAGACCATAGGTGTCTTCGAAGTATTGCTCGGCTATCCTGAGACAATCAAGTAAGCAACACTGGGGTTAGGAAAAGGATTCTACGTAATGATAGCAAATCAATTGACGGAGTATTGAAACTTCGTCAGTTTAGATGGTTGGAGTTTTTCTACTTCATCTATTGATCTGCCATCTTTACCTAGTACTCGCTTCCTAATGGCAGCATTGCTTACTCGGCTGTCCCACGATACACGAACAATGCTTCGGAGACACCTACGATCGAATTCTTATTTATTCACAATTATATAAATTTACCCTGTATTGTCAAGGGAAATTTTACATTGGTTTTCAGGAGAACCAAAGAGACTGGACACGTTTTACCATTACTACATGAACAGTTTGGCTCAATCCTGTGGTGCAACCACACAGGTACCTGATACCCTGGTGGACCGATGATCGAATACTAGTAACCTACGAATATCTACTCCTACCGGCCATGTTTCGCACCCATATAGGAGAACGGAGCGAACTGCCGCACAGTACACTTGACCTTTGGTTAGCAAACGGATATCCCGCCTACGCCATATATGACGCAAATAAATTTCGGTGACAGGATTTATAATTTTGTATGCGGGTCTGACATCTCACAGATAAATTCTGAATTTCCAAAACGGTTTGCTGGTTGGCGAAAACGTATAAGGGAATGGGCTTTCAACTAATGCCGTTTTTAGAATGGCCTAATCCGTTGTCGCTTGGTGACAACCTTCACGAAGCCAGCATTTAGTGGCTTCGAACTTTAGAAAGAATGGCGCTTGCAATAAGACTAAGAGCTGAAAGGATTTAAGGATAAGGTACGCCAAAGTAGATATAACATGAGCATGTTTACTTACTACGCATTAGTCTTTGTTGGAGGAAAAAGAAATGTGAGGGATTCCTCAATGAACACTGATGTATCATAGAATTTATTTTACTAGATAGATTTGTACTTAAATACCATAAACGACGTATCCCTTTTTTGTCGCAATCGTATTTTAGTCACGTGCTTTTACTGTAGAACCAGTTGAAACAGTACTTTCAGATTCAACCAGAACCGATGCACAATCGAGTCAGGTGGATTAATCTAAAATTTCCACCAGCATAATAATTTTTATTTTTGATGTGACCACTTTCATAAAATCTATGCCTTGTTTACAACCATCACATTTAATATTTAGGGCATAAATCTTTCCGAAGCCCACTATCATCATATAAATATTCCCAAAACTAACAAAAATGATCTAGACAAAGTATTCCAGTTTTTAATACTGTTAACTGTTTGAAATGAAGCTTTAAAACATATTTACCAAAAAGAGTTCTGGAGCAGCATATGGAGGACTACCGCAAAAAGTAGTTAACCTTTGATCACATTCGAAGAGATTAGCCAAGCCAAAATCAGCAACCTTAACGTTTAAGTTTTGGTCCAATAAGATATTTTCTGCCTTCAGGTCTCGATGGACAATCCGTTTGGCATGACAATACTGCATGGCAGATAGCAGTTGCCTGAACTTTACTCGTGCTTTCTTCTCACACATCTTCCCATTCGCGACAAGGTAATCAAATATTTCACCTACGGTATCAATTTATTGAATATAACCAGTACCTCCACTGGCATATTCCATAACAAGACAAAGAACATCTTCATTTTCAATTATTTCGAGCAGTTTGACTACAAATTTAGGTGACTAATCGACACTTACCAATGTTTGGATGATTTGTAACTTTCATGATGGTTATCTCACGTTTAAGCTAGTTGAAAAAATACATCAATAATTTCCCACTTACGCGTTTGAGTAGAGTATTATCCATAACGGTCTTATTAATTATTTTTATAGCAACCTGGAAATGTTGAAACTGAGCAAGACCTTACTTCTACACCAGTGGCCATGTGAATAGCAAGCTTGACTTTTGCGAAATTCCCTTTACCTATAGTGCGTAAGAGACGATACTTCCCAACGTTGCTATTTACAACCACATGGGGAACTGAAGGTTCAGCAGTGGTAATATCACGATTTTGGGCAGCCTTGACGTCTGAGTCGGTAACCACTGTTTCGGCAACTGGGTGAACTATTTCTGGAACTGGCTTTGATAGTTTAAAGTCATTGAATGCTTTGTTATTTGTGACTTCTTCGACGTTAACTAATGTGGATGCGATGTCATACAGTTCCGGTGCACATGTGACTACAGTGCCAGTATCCACCTCCATTTGGAGTGCTTGTATGTGTATTATGTCACTTAATTAGTTTATCACACACAAAGTTGTTTCTGCACTTACTTCTATGAAATAATCATGCAAAATCTAAGAGCTAGCATCTTATCTAGCCCGCCATGATAGGACGTTCTTCCCGCTGATATATTTGCTACAGAATTCTGCGAAACTAAACAAACCTTTAAAGACCATAATGAGTCCCCATTTTTTCCACCTTCAAATGGTGATATTATTCATGACCTAATTAGTTATGAATGCTTAGTCACATTTTGTCTCTATAAGCAACGGATTATAAGGCCATACAGACAGGGACCAAAGCACATGAAATAGGGATAAATATAATGAGCTATTAAAAAATTAGTAACAGACGTATTCCGAATCTTTAAGCATATTTCAAACTTCCCCTAGGAAGACTCCTATGATACTGTATGATAAAGTTCAGCAGATATTAAATTCTAAGACTCTCAAGTGTAAAAGCTATACATATCACAATGATGACACTCTAATTTGTTTGTGTAAGTTTGTTAATCCCTCTGTTTAGCCTATTAAGTCAACGGAGAAGGTTTTTTTGGTCAGTAGTTATTTGTCTACATCTTCATATTCGTATATGTCCACGTTTGCACAAACTCGTATGATCAACTATATGAGATAGCATATTCGCTTATTTCTCTTATTAGTCTAATCGTTGATTGCTTCAAATGCTTTATAATTCAATTCCATGTTCTTAAATATTTTTGAGTAAAATGACATTTATTTATCTTTCAAACAATTTTTTGGCCTCGTTGCGTGTTTCTTGATCGTTTCGTCAAACACTTTTGATCAACATTTTCCACAACTTTGTTTCAAGTTCCCGAAAGCGTACAACACTGGCAATTGTGTTGGTAACACTATTTAGGTTGATTAACGTACGAGGTATGGGACTGGTCTGTTTTATCTCACAACACCCTTAATGGGCCAATTATCACTCTGGTCGACTAATCGGTTTAATTGACACGGTTTTCGATATATCAAGGATCTTCAAGATACGTCTTCAAACTCTTTCATCCCTGACTAATGGTTTGACCGTGTTTGCGATCCTTGGTAATGAAGAGGTTGTAGTGATCTACATTTATTGAGAGAATGTGATTGGTTTAATAGAAACACTTATTATAACTACTTGTACCAGTGGCTGTTTCACAGTACATTTTCATTTCTTTGTACCAAAAATACACCTTTTCCGTTTTTGTGACCTTGAGTTTGCTCACGTAATCACGGTAGGCTCACCTGTATATCTTGGCACGATCTTGGTATTATTTTGATTCCGCGACGTCACCAACTAATATACATTCATTTACCGATCCAATCTTCTTCCTTGTTTCGATCCTGCCGAGGGATATAACCTGGTAATTGCTACGTAATTGGTCTGTGTTGGTGATCAAAGTCGATTCGAACTCGACACACTTCATCTGGTGAGCAAAGACTTCAAACACGCCGAAACTGCTGAAGAATCTCCAAAAGAAGCCAATTAGGGTGTCTATTATTGATCTATCGACATTTCCCATTGATAAGTTGTTGTATATTTCATATCGATAACTTTTAATATATATTATACTTGCAACAAATTTTCGATATGCTGGATAGAGATAAAAATAGTGATGAGATAATAAACTCTGAAGTACAGACTATTCTCCGAATTGTTCCTTTAAACTTCCACGATCCAGAAGTCTGGTTCGCAGCAGTGGAATTTTAGTTGGAGATCAGTTGCAAAATGAACCGGCAGCAAAAATAGGCCTGCGCTCTGAAAACCTTACCTTGGGATCGTATAGCCTCCGTCCTTGTGGTTGTCCTCAAGCTTGATGTACCTGACGTCTACGATCGTCTCAAGGAGGCGATTCTCAGACATTACCTACCATTGAGGGAGGGACGACGAGAAACTTTACTAGCATGTCACTCCCTAGATGATGTTAACCTGAACAACCACCTCGCGCGCCTGCAGCCTTGGTAACAACAAGTCTCGAGCTACGATGCTTCGCCTAAGCGCCGCGAATGGTTCAGTCATTCCTACCTAAGGTACACGACAGCTTACTGTCAACCTGAGCAACTGACGACATCAACTGTGGACATTCATTACTGCTTATTGTCCCACAGCCGTACAGCACTCTGAATTCCCAGTCTATTTACGTAGGTTTTAGCTAGTCGATACATCGTCGGACAGTCAATTCATGGGTGTACCGAAACACAGGCGCTTTCCCTTAGCGATAACGATATAATCCATGCTTTATCCGAGAAATTCCCAGAACTTACTAAACCGCTCAAGGGGATCCCATCGGTGACTAATCGTGTGGTGCCCCACATCGTCACCCACAGACCTCTAGTCACGGCAAAACCTCGTCGACTGGAACCGGACAAATTATCTTTCGCTAAACGTGAGTTTGAGAGTTTACTAGGAACAAATATTATTCGTCCTTTTCACAGTCCAAGGGCCTGACCTCTTCACATGGTTCGCAAAAAGGATGGTGTGAGTTGGAGCCCGTGTGGCGACTACCGAGCATTGAACGTAGCTACACGACATCACAGCATCACTCAAAGGAACGACTATTTTTTCTAGGATGGATATGGTTCGGGCATATCATCAGATCCCAGTCTCTCTCGAAGATATCGAGAAAACTGCCATCACGACACACTACAAAGTTATGGCTAAAAGCGCCGATGAAAGTGATACCTACTAGAATTCTGTCTTAATGAAAACTGTTCCAAAGATTCGGGAACTGCGAATGCCGAATTCGCATTATGTTTCATGAAATGTAAATTAGATAGTGAGTTGTTGTGTCATTGACTTTGTTCCATTAACTTCTGAAAGCTTGATCATTCTTCTCATGATAAACCCTGGTTCCGACCTATAAAACATTTGGAGGACTTTACGTGTTCACGTGCGGCCCGCAAAGTGTATGAAGTGAGGCGATTGACCTTAGCTACACGTGCTTCACTTCAGTAGGACATTTTTCTAGTAATTCAATCTTTGTTCAAAGCTCAAATATCAACTTTAAATACTGATACCACATGAATACTATGACTTACCTTTCAAAATGTTATATCGGTTACACATATAAAACAAAATCTAGCAAAATAGCATGGCATTTCTGCATTTTTGTCTCACTGATGGTTGTAGAATCCTTTTTGAATGTTTTGTTTTCTGGAAAATCCCTCCATGTTTACATATTTTTGTTATGACATGACGGACTCTTTCTGTTGACATTTTTGGTATTTTATTTGATTCCAATTTGAGATTTTATCATTGTATATTGTTATTATTTCTATATTTTGTACTTATATTGAAGTTTTTATGTTTGCTTCTGAACTGTATATGTTGTTTAAATTTGATCTTTAATATGGCCACAGCCATATTTGGATTGATACGGTGGCGGTTGGACTTAACGTCACTTATTCCCCTTTGTCTTGGATACTCTTCGGAGTAATTGCGACCTGGAAAGTGCATCAATTCCAGGTACTGCTTTGTATTTCCATCTTCTAATTAGTATAGACCGTTTTCTCCTAGAATTGTTGTGTTTTCTGGACATTGGACTGGGAGATACGCGTTCAGATTGCACTTATTGGAAACCATTTGAACTGCTACGGTAAAAATCCATTTATAATGGTCACATATGAATTCTCACTTCTTCTAACTAACATAAAGCAACAAAAAGAGACCTTATTAAGATTTCCTGAAATACAATACAGACCTTTACTTGTAATATATGTGCAACTGATACTTCACAAAGATAATAATTTACTAGATGAATCCTTTGGCATAATTGTTAAGAGAAATAAGTAACAGTGAATCGTGTACATCTAAGATGATGATGACCCGATTATTCCTATCTTTAATATTGTGTCTGAGCATTGGTTTTTCTGATAGTCACTGACAATCATGACGCTTAGAGTGCAAAATCGCTCATTAAATATTAATAGCTGTGTTTAAGTGGTGAAGTTAATGAGTTTTGAGAAATAAGCGTTGGCATTTACTAAAAGTCGATAACAGTCAGAGAGTATACCGAAATTTTATATCTCACATACAGATTACAATTGTGGTTAATGAATAGTTGTTTGTTGATCAGTAAATATTGTCTGCGTATTTATTACAGTCAGCAGATAGTGGACCATCCCCAAATATAAACTAAGGAGATTTTTCGATTCAGTTATTACTAGTTTACTTCAAGAACTGTGGTAAGTAATATGGCACATCGGAACCATCCGTTATCATCTGGTTGGACTGAGTAACATCGACTTCGGTCTGTGTTTGAACGTTGTCTGCCTATCGACTCTAATATATGCACTGGAGTAGAATAAATGGACAGTACTGAAGCTACAAAAAGAGCATGGTTTCTACTAAAAATTCAAATTGTTCAGCTATTTTGGTGGCATTTTCGCCACTTGATCAGGACATTATTATTATCATTAGTTAGTGTTTCTTCTGATAGTTTCATAAAATTTGAACGGACTGTACTAGCTTCACCGTTAAATTCAAAGTAAGTAATACGCATGATTCTGACAATCTGAGTTTTGTTACCTGTTCAGACGGATATATTTGTTGTTGGTCAGTGCTAGTCATACGAATGAGACATTTTTGGGCACATTTGGTAGGATCACTTGATAAAAATGCCTAATAAATCATCGGGTTAATAACACTGGCGGTACTTCGAACTGTTTCGCTCCAATGCCGGTTTATACTGGCTCATTACAAAGATATTCAATTAAAATATTTATTTTTCATTGAAAATGTTTACAGGTATCTCAAACTAAGTCTGATTATCAGACCAGTTAGTCGAGAATTTGATCGGCTGATTGTTACAACAGAGAAATATATTTCAAAACAGAAATAAACACTAGCATCTTTGTTTAAAATAATCTATTCTGCCTTGATTAACCAATCTGTTTGCTACATTAGGACGAATTACGCACACATGAGGGAGAATATTCTGCATGCCTAATGGCCACGGGAATGGAAGGTGGTGACAGAAGATGGTCACAGTGAGAGATATCATCCAGAATTCTATCCTAAGCAATGTACCTCATGCACACCACACTCTGGGAATGAGAATAACTTGTGCTATTAGAGGCACTGAACGCTTGCTGTAAGCGAAATGGAGGGCCTGGTACAAGTGAAAGGTCCTTTTGAAA